AAGGAAGGAAGGAAGGAAGGAAGGAAGGAATTTTCTCTTTTAGATTAAGTTTTGTGACTTGGAAATTGTAGCAATTTCAAAATATGAAGAGGCAAATGTGTAGGCCTGCCAAAAGATGGGGACAGTTTTAATTTATTTATTTTGGGCATGTGTTTGATCTATGCCTAAATTTGCATCCAAATCCATATTATACATTTCAATTGCTTGGATCATATTTGAATTCACTGTTATAAAATTGGGACCATCTTAACTTGTTTTCCGTATATTTTAATATTAATAGTATTAAGGAACCTGAGTTATCCATTCAGGAAATAATCATTTAGAAGCAATGACTTGCTCTTTCCTTCACTGAAAATTGTTGGTACAAATATTCTACCTTAGTTCAAGTCAAAAAACAGTAAACTGTCTATAGTACAAAGAGAAGACAATTGCATAATCACTGAACTAATATATAGTAGGAGAGAAATTACTTCCCATATACCATATCCAATCTTTTACTTGACTATGAAAACCATAGAAAAGGTTAGGAAAGCTAGGATAATTAAAACATGTTATTATTATTTAATTATTTATGATGATGACAATTATATTTATTCCTTAAATACCTGTACTTAAACTGTACTAAATAAGTTAACATTTAACCAAAGCGATTTAATTAATATGATTATTTGGGGGCTTTAGAAACAGATGATTGCATCACAAGGTCACAATGCAATCCCTATAGTTTATATATTTCTGTCAGACATTGGGTTGCAAATATGCAATGGCAGGCTTTGCACCATGACGCTATCATGTATGTCCTCAGGTTTTCAGGATCATGGCTAGCTGTGGACAGCTATGAATGGGAACTAATTGGTGCATAGGTAATGAATTCTCCAAACGAGAGCCAGTCTGGTGTAGTGGTCAAGGCATCCAGCTAGAAACTGGGAGATTGTGAGTTCTAGTCCTGCCTTGGGCATAGAGCCAGCTGGGTGACCTTGGACCAGTCCTTCTCTCTCAGCCCTAGGAAGCAGGCAAGGACAAACCACTTCCAAAATCAAACTACAGAGACTTGTCCAGACAGTCGCCAGAAGTCAACACTGATTCAAAGGAGCACGTGCACACACACACACAGACACACACAGACAAATCTCCAGGAAGAGACTAAGCTGGTATATCAAACACAAATGGAAGTAGGTGTTCATTCCCAACATGCTGGTCTGAGTATTGAGGGACAACACAGGGTAGAATCACACTCCCAAACCGCAAACCTGACTCTTCAGAGAAAATTAACCCCAGTGGCTCCTTCTAATTGGTTAAGAAACTTTCACAACCACCAACTTGCCTGGATTACTGTAGTTTCAGTCTGTTTCTCCTCATCCAGTCCTCAGTCTAGTATAGACAGGAGAAAATTAAGAAGCCTGGCACAACTAATGAAATGGAAAGGATAAAGAGATTTAGATGTTATCTGCCTGAAGGTGTTATCTGCATGAAGGTGGCACCCGATCTCAAAACCTCTGATGATCACTCCCAGTGACTTCATAGGCATATTGAATATGTACTGTAAGCTTCTCATGTAATGTAAATTGTCTTGCTGTGAGGTAAATCCACAAAATCCCCTTTGCCTTAAGAGAATACTATCGGGGGGGGGGGTGTCATATGGTCAATCCTTGAACCTGACAACAGGGCAATGGAACTCATGATAGCCACAAGTTCCTGAGCTGCTGCAGAATGACTGAACTCAGCATGAATGTTACCTCCCTGACAGCTAAAAGCCCCAGGACACCAAAATGCACAAGAGGCTCAATGTTTTGGCATGAGATAGTCTAGGAGTTTCATAACTCACAAAAGGGTTGCTGGTGGGTACCTCCTATTAAAGGGTAGGGCAGAAGAGGATATATTTCCTAATATTCTTGCAATTGAGTCTTATATCAGACATCATGGAAACTAAGAGGCAGATATTTTAATAAAATAGGTTAAGAAGTAAATAGAAACGGAGTATTTATATTCTCGTGGCATGAACCAGAAAAGGGACCTATGGCCATGTAGAACTTGTTGGATCAAAATTTCCATCTAGACTAATTATTGGAGGACCTGGCTTTAAGGACTGAAAATTATACAAAACTGTGTATGAAACACCACACTGATTTGTATTTTATTTTACAATTTTGGGTACACGGGCCATGAATTTATCCTTGAACATAAAGCAATGATGTTGCATTTATCTTTATATTACCATAACTTGTTAACTTCCTTTGCTGGGACCTAAAAGCAGGAAGCCAGATGAAGGATAAGCTAATTTGTGTTCCATTATTCAGAGTCAATCAGACTTAACAAAATGTGTCCATTTTCACTATAACATTTCTTGAATCAAGAATTTAGAATTTATTTCTTAAATCATACATCTATAGCTTTGTGATAATCTTCACTTTTAGACATTGGTGAAAAAAAAATTGATCATCAGTTATTTCTGGGGTGGACATGTGTTGATGTTTATTTCCAAATATTGTAACTCAAATATATATATTTAGACAAGACATGCATATTGTATTTTGGAAATTCATAATTTCTTTAATTCATTTTCCTAGCTCGTATATGGATCTGCTCCAAAAGCAGATGATAATGCTCATGCTGTTTTCTTTCATCAATTTTTCCCAAATGAGAACACTGAGATTAAAGGACTTCTCCATCTGCTGTTGTATTTAAAGTGGACATGGATTGGGCTGGTTTTTCAACGTACTGAGAGTGGAGAGAAATTTGTACACAATGCCATCACTATGTTTTCGCAGAAAGGTGTGTGCTTTGACTTCATGGAACAGTTGGCCATGGAGACATTTTATGATACATTTTAGTTACATTTAATGAATTGATTAAAACGTACATGGTTATCATGAACAGCACTTCCAATGTTGTGATCTTACATTGTGAAAACCAGGTCACAGTCATTTTTAGAATGTTCCCCTATGCTTCAGAATTTGAAAACATACCAATAAAGAAAAAAGATAAAGTTTGGATAATGACAGCCCAGATGGAGTTCACATCACTTTCCTTTCAAAGAAGGCGAGGAATGGATTTCTTCCATGGTGCTATATCTTTTGCAGCATTATCCAAGGAGATATCTGGGTTCAAACAATTCTTACAAATGAGAAACCCTACTTCAGAAAAGGAAGACCATTTAATAAGATTGTTCTGGGAACAGGCATTTGCATGTTCTTTCCCTAATGAAATGTTGGATGAGGACATTGGAATAGTGTGCATTGGAGAAGAAAAGTTGGAGACTCTTCCTAATGCTGTTTTTGATACCACCATGACCGGGCAGAGTTATAGCATCTACAATGCAGTCTATGCTGTGGCAAATGCATTGCGAGCCATGTTTTCACCCAGATTCAAATATAAAGTGAGGACAGCCAGTGGGAGACAATTGCTTTTGAATCAAGAGGCCTGGCAGGTATATCTTACTGATCTTCCTCTTCTGATGAAATGAACCATTGACATGAAATGAACAGTCACTGAGATGAAATGAACCACTGATATGATACTATTCCAATGAGAACAGTGGAATAGTGGTATGTAGGTTCCTATTCTAGTATTCTCATAGTTTTATGAATTACATTTAACTTTACAATGATATGTGTATCATTGCAACAATGAGGAGTAGGTATATGTAAATTAGATCAGATTTGATTTAAATAATGGATTTGATTAGAACCATTGATTTGACTTGATCTGTGATTGGAGCATTGTCTTGATCTGAATCATTCAACTCATTCAAAGAGTAAATGAAATTTGATGGAACAGTATCAGATTACTATTAAACTGCACAATAACAATAAAGCAACAAAAAGATCATTACCCACAGTTTCTAGTAATGTAAAATATTAGTAGTATATGTGTATTCATCCATATCAATTGCTTTGACTTCCTTCTATTTAGCTCCATCACTATTTGAGAACGTTGTCATTTAACAACAGTGTTGGAGAGAAAATTTTCTTTAATGAAAATGGGGAACTGGGAACTGGATTTGATATCATCAACTGGATCACATTCCCAAACCAGACTTTCCTTAATGTCAAAGTTGGAAGGATAGACCCCACAGCTTCTCCAGATAAGCTGTTCACCATTTCTGTAGAGAACATCATCTGGCCAAGTGAGTTTAGCAAGGTATCTCCTGCTCACTTTTCAAATTGGATGAAATAATCCCACCCCCTTTTTTTAATCATGTCTTTGTTCATATAGATTGTGTCTTTGTTCACATAGTAGAGTCTTGCAAGAAAAATAACTGTGACTACTTCACCGAGTCATTAGCGTTAAAACTGAGACCTACTAACATTTCTAGATTGGCTACATAAGAAACTGTCTCTGAAATTGCATTTAAGTAAGTTAAAGTAGGTATGATTTAATAATAAACCATGTTTAAACATAGGGCTGAAGTTATATATGACTGAGAGAATTCCACAATTGGTTGGGGTGCATCTGAAAAGGCCCTGAGTTCAGTTCTCAATAATAACATTGATTTTACTCAAGCTGGATGTCCAGATTCTATATTAGCTTAAATTTTGTTATCTTAGGTGTGTATGTGTCTGTTTTCAGAGCTCAGCATAGAATCATCTTTAGTTATTCTGATGTGAAAGTAATTATTTCCTTCTTCTGGCAACACAAAGTTTGACACATGGACGTCTAGTGATGGTGCTGAGGGACTGAGAATTTCTGAGCTTTGATTAACTGCTTGAAGTTGTTGTAGGCATCTGCTTTTCCTATCTGGTTGTCTGGGACCTACCTACTTACCTCCCTCCCCACTGGAATATCAATATCCAAGCAGCTTGATGTACGTATCAGATATGATTTTGTTTATTTTCTATGTATTGCTCTCTGTATGTTTAACACAGGGATACTTTTGCTGGGAGAAACCACCACCATACCAATTTTCTATGTATTGCTCTCTGTATGTTTAACACAGGGATGCCTTTTGCTGGGAGAAACCACCACCATACCACTGTTACTCTTTGGTATGAGTATATGATGTATGTGTGAATATATGTGTTGTATTTGTGTGAGCTGGGAAGAACATATAGTTAGGAGTGAGAGATGCATATGTACATACACAAATGTACTGTAGAATTGGATTGGGAGAGAGATATTCTTTGCCTGACCCAAAACCATTTGGAGGGCATTAGGAATAAAAGAAGTTTATTTAGCCATCTCTTCCATGGAACTAAAACACACACCACTCTAGGAAAACAAATAGTACTATTTCCATTTTTCATGTTGCATCTAGTACTTCTTCACGTCCACTACATAGTTCCTCCATATATTTCATCTGTAATAGGGGCATACATATGATTTTCCCCTCTTCATTTCTACTAACACTAATGGGTAATAATATTTTTTCTGGGATCATTGCTGCTCCGTTGCTTCACATGGACACATGCTCTGAATATTATATAATGAAATCATCAGTGTTAAGGTAGCTGATTTCAGTTTACCAGTTCAATTACTTCCAGAGAATTCACATTGTGGACTCTGCAAATCTTTGAAAATTCCAGAATGTTGATTATACTTCTCTCATTCCACGTTCAAATGCTGTATTTTCATTTAAAATGAGTCGCTCCTGTTCCAATACTACCATCAACAATGACCAGACTGCCCCTATTGCTTAGTTTATTTATGGGACAAGTCACCTACGGCCACATCAATACCTCCAGTTGCCCTTGTGAAAATTCTATGTTCTTCTTCAGTACGTAGATGAGTAGCTTCTCTAATGAGCAACTCATGATCTTATAAAGGTTACAGTTATGGCCATACTGTTTTCTTCCAAGGATTAGAAATGGTTTGCTGTTGCCTTCTGGATTAGATGTTGCAGTTTCTTCTCCCATGTGTGCTGAATTCCATTTTGCCATCACTTCCAACTTGAATATTCTTAGTTCCTTCCCATACCTTTTAACACTAGGAATGAATGGTTCAGAAATATCATTCTTGGGGGGTATTGGAAAACCTTTCCCTCTCAGATCAGGGCAATAACCCACAAAGGTGACTAGCTGGTCTAATGGGTGATCCAACAAGTCTTGGCAGTAAATGACAGGTTCTCAAACCTTTGAGTGCAGTAGTTGATTGCCCATCACAGTGCAAAGAACACAGAAAGAGATATGTCTATGCTGCAGTAGGATTCTTCCTCCACCACCACCTTTTCTGCTTCCAAATTAACAGGTCCTTGGTGAGTCACTTTGTATTTTGAAAAAAAAGAAGGAACTTATTCCAGCCTTTGCAGCCTCAGGCCTTACTCCATACTACAAGATATTCCACTAAGAAAATACAGAGAAGTTCAAAGTATCAACAAGATTTGATTTCCCCATACAAGCCAAAGAGATACGATCCATCTGAGTCACCACGATTAAATCAGTCTGATTATAGAAGAGAACTCAGCCTTCATGGTTAGGCTTTCACATAACTTTGAACTTTGTGAATATCCGTCAGGAAACATATTCACTAATATTCACCGAAGTTCCTATAGCAACTGCTAATGAGACACAATGTGAGTTTGACATGGGTCATTATTCCCTTAAATATGTTAAATGTGAAAAAAAGACTTGCCCAGTAGAAATGCATACCAAACGTTTTTCAAAAAGGTATACTATTTTGTTCAGTGATCAAGCATTCATTTTACACTAGCACAGTTACAGAGAAATGCAGATCTATGAAATAACAAAAACAACAACACCATTCTGGTTTCATTTCTTAACAGACACTGCCTCTTTCTGTGTGCAATGACAATTGCTATTCAGGTTTCAGCAAGTTTAAAATAGAAGGGAAACCATTTTGCTGCTATGACTGCCTTCCATGTACAAAAGGGAAGATTTCAAACAAGACAGGTAAGAGATTTCATTTGTAGATCTGTTTATATGTATTGTGACCCAAGCACTAATGTTTAAACTAGAAATGTTCAGTTCTTAGCTCTGAAGTGGGAAATGTGCTATAGATCTGGAATCAGTATCTATCCGATTCATCTTAAAGAAGCCATACCTTTGCTTGGGATCACACAATAGTTGTGCAGTTCCAGAAAAAATATATGTCTCAATTAAGAACAGATTAAGGAGGCAACAGCAGGGGGCTCATTCCTATGAAACCATTCCATCACTCTATATGTTCTTCTGACCTTTAGAAATAGAAAATAAGTTTTTAGCCAGTGTAGAACCTTATTTAATAATTTTTAAAGCCACCCATCTCAACAAGTGACTCTAGGCAGTGAACAATAACAAATAAAATAAAAACAATTGCATCCCAAATACAAAAGTTAAAATACATAGCAGCTGAGAAAAACAACACAGTCAACACAGTCACCAACAACACTTAGTGAATATAACCATTTTTATTTTAGAATAGTGAACATCCATTTTTTCTTCATTACAGTATGTTGCTAGGACCCTTAAACTCTGCCATAGACTGATTTTATCTAGGATAAAATGGCTGCATCATTGGCATAGAGGAGAATGTAAGTCTGCTTATTGGCCAATACATATAAATATCAAGACCAGTCCAAGTGCCACCAATCAGATACACACATATACACTTACACACATGTATTGGTACATTCACATACAGACTTCATTATTCTTAAGGTATTCCAGAATAAATAAAATTGATATAAATTATTTAGGAATTAATGAAATCACATCAACTCATTTTCAGTCCATATAACTCATGTAATTGTTACACTTGGAGCACAATCCTTTTCTTTTTCAGATGCAGATGACTGTTCTCAATGTTCAGAAAATCAGTACTCAACCAAAGCTCAAAATCTTTGCATTCCAAAACGGATTGTATTTTTGTCTTACAAAGAACCCTTGGGAATCACCTTGACAAGTGTTGCTTTCTTCTTTTCTTTCATCTCAGCTGTGGTGCTGGGGATCTTCATTAAACAGCAGGATACTCCCATTGTCAAAGCCAACAACAGGAACCTCACCTACATTCTTCTCATTGCTCTCCTGCTCTCCTTCCTTTGCACTTTGCTCTTCATTGGGCAACCTGACCAAGTGAAATGTCTCATGAGACAAACTGCCTTTAGCATTATCTTCTGTATAGCTCTTTCTTGTATATTGGGGAAAACAACCATTGTGTTTCTTGCTTTCATGGGCACCAAACCAGGCTCCAAAATGAGGAAATGGGTGGGGAAAAGGCTGGCCAACACTATTGTCCTCTCTTGCTCTGTGGTACAAACAACAATTTCTGTTGTGTGGCTTACAATTTCTCCCCCCTTCCCAGATTTTGACAAGTACTCCATGGCTGAAGAAATTGTTCTAGAATGTAATGAAGGTTCAACCACTATGTTTTATACTGTTCTTAGTTTTTTGGGGTTCTTGACTGCTATCAGTTTCACAGTGGCTTTCCTAGCTAGAAAATTACCAGACAGCTTTAATGAAGCCAAATTTATCACTTTCAGCATGTTGGTCTTTTGCAGTGTCTGGATATCATTTGTTCCTACCTATCTGAGCACAAAGGGCAAATATACAGTAGCTGTGGAGATCTTCTCCATTTTGGCTTCTGCAGCTGGCTTATTGTGTTGCATCTTTTCCCCTAAATGCTACATTATTGTTCTAAGGCTTGATTTGAACAAAAAGGAGCAGCTAATAAAGAGATAAAAGTTAATTACATTTTCTTTCTTTCTTTTCTTTTTTTATGGAGTCTATTTTACTCGTCTATTCACTGCAGTATGGCTTCATTTTCTTCTTCTAGAAGACAGGCTAAAGTTCCACAGCCAAATATAACATGCAGAACTTGTCCTGGTATTCTCTAAATACTGAAATTAGCAACGTTAATCTGACCCTGCCCTCTCAATAAAAAGATTTATTGAAATTTTTGACATATTGCTGTGAAAATGGAATTTCAGATTAAGAACCTACCAAATCAAGAAAAAGCCATAGCTTCATTATAAATTATGTGGATTTATGGTCTTTCGGGGGCAATGGCTGTTAAAAAGAACAAATGCTGTTGTATTAAATCTTGGACTGAATTCTACCATGTTGGGGAAGTGGTTATTACACAAGACACGCAAAGAACTGTTGACAAACAGAATAGCCTGCAGGAAAATCATGTTTACAGCCTAGAAAAATACTCTGGACAACAAACTTATAAGAATGCTCTTTTTGTCCTTGTAATGACAGACAGATCTAATGTGCCATTTACTGCAGAAATATACTCTGAATTCATATTCACCAAGGCTTTACAATATATTTGTATGTCATCTTCAGCCAATAGAAAAATACTGTGCTAATTCTATTTATCTGAGCTTCAATTTAGATTAATTCTGTTTTGTCATTAATGGTTTGGCAGAGTATGTTGAGACATTTCATCAGACTTGGTCTTAAATTAAAATTGTTATATTGGAGGGAACACCCAGGTGTTTTCTATTTCTTACAATGTGTGTAACCTTTTCTGTAGCAAGCATGCAGCTAAAGAGTTATTTATTCAGTAAACATATTGTATGAAATATTAATAAACTTAAAACAATTCTGCTCAAAGTAAAGGTAGTGGTAACTAATATTTATATCAATCAAATTTATTTGGGTACACTTTTAGTGATTAAATAATTTCATTTTAGAGCAGCTGAAGAGAAAGAGATTCAAAATGATTCAACTTTGATGGGAGAATATGAAAGTCATTTCATTTGGTGAATGGAATGGAATGGAATGGAACAGAACAGGAGTAGAATGCAGGAGCAAGAAAGCTGAGCATCCTTTCAAATGCAACAGAGTATTCAAGCATTCCAGTGCTACAGAAGGTTTTACTGGGGAAACACCACTGGATGTGTCATGGTCTAAGACTCAGATTCTGACTCTGAAGAAGCTGCTTGAACCAGTGGAATTCACTGGAGACACCAAGCCATGAATCACCTGAGGCTAAGCAAACACAGGCACCATCAGACCAGCTGGAGCAGCCAGATGATGGTGTAAGTAAGCCTTCAGACTAGGTGAATAGAGCAGAGCGAAGACACTCAATGAGGCTTTAATTAAGATAAGTAACTATCTCAGTTAAAGATAGCTGGCTGCAGCCGATTTAAGAGGCAGCCCTGACTTGTGTTTCTCCATTGGAAACAACCATCTGCTCTCCTGCACTGGCATATTGTTCCTGTGAACCCTAAAACTCTGATCTTCAGACTGGCTGACAAACCTGACTTGGCTCTCTGAACTTCAGACTGGATTTGGACTTCTCTTCTATACATTCCTGTTGAAAGCAAAACTTTCTAGGCAAGCTTTCTTTCCCAGGGACTGTTTTGATTAACGTTCCTTTCTTTGTCTGCCAGTTATCTACTTAGCCTTGAGTAAATTGCTATTCTCACCTAACATCTGTGTGCGTGTGTGAGTCTGTAAGCTGGAACAGGAGACAATGCCTCCTCTTGTAATACCCTGGAAAAAGTAATTGAAAGGTGAAATCAGTAGTAATTCATAATGGTAGTAATCATTAAATAAGAAAGACTGATAATGGTAAAAGAAGAGGAAACATTTGGATGAGATGTAAGTTTAAAGTAGGGGATCAATTCCCATATAACTTTCCTCCCCCCTTAATTGATTGAGGTTGTCTGTAACAATAACTGGGTCCCTCTTTCCAATAAGTTGAAAAAAAAAACTCATTACTGTTAGTAATGGGAGATGAGGAAGGTGAAGATGTGGAGAACATCAGGGTGAAGATAAGATTACAAACAGGTTTACCAGATTCAGGCCACATTTGGAAATCAATCATTCCATTTTGCAATTAATCCCCAAGTAGTGAAAGCAATCTCTAATGTGTAAAAAGTAGTGTATTCTTATATCCCATTATTTGATTCAAAGATATATTTTGAGTATGTTGTCCTATCATATACTGTTGATTTAGCTCACTAAATATTGTGGAAATATCCATATGAACCAAGTTCAAATTTATGAAACTTATGGGCACAAATTGCTAAACAAAAACTAGCCACTTCCTCTGTCATGGTGGGGGATGTTTTTGAACTGTATATTTCTACTCCCCACAGCAAGTAAGACATTTCACCTTACTAGGACCTAGGGAACCATCATGGTTTATTCAACCATGATTGTTTATAGTTTGTCCGACTATAATTCTGTAGTTGGAATCTGTCAGGACACTTGATTTCCAGATATGTACTGTATTTTTGATGTATTTCATTGATCAATATTGGTTTATTTATATATCCACCAATTTATTACAAACTATATATGGATCTCATATTCTGTGTGATTCTAGATAATTTCTAGGTTGTCAGTTTGCTTCTGGGTCCAATTCAAGCATAGGGTCTTTAAAGCCTTACATGGCATGGGACCAGGTTTTTTTTCAAGGACTGCCTCTCCTCAGTTACATCTACGCATCCCCACCAGGTCCAGCAGGAGAGGCACTGTGTGTCCCATCAGCCAGCAAATTTCATTGGTTGGGACCTTGGAGGAAAGCCTTTCCTGCCATGGCACCTGTGGAACATCCTTTCCCCTGAGATTGGCTCCAAACTTGTTGGCCTTCTGGAAGGCCCTCAAAACATGGCTTTGTAAACTGATCAGGGATCTGGGGATCCCATGATAGAGTGGATCCTGCTTACATAGTTACATGATGATTAATGGAATGCACTCCATGTTTTTTCTTTTTTTGGTCATTCTGTTTTTATCTTTTTAATTTATTTTGGTTATATTTTTAACTGGTTTTTATCTATTTGGATTATTTTATTGTGTACACTGCCCAGAGTCACTATGTGAGATGGGTGGCTATATAAATCTCTGTGTGTGTGTGTATGTGTGTGTGTGTGTGTGTGTGAGAGAGAGAGAGAGAGAGAGAGGGAGAGAAAGAATAATCCACAAAATTAAAACTGAAATAAAACAAAAACTAGACACCACAAAAGACCATACCCAGACAGTTCCATAAAGCAAGTGAAGGATTAAAATAGAACTAAAACAACAGGAAGAATTAAGATAAAACCTCTAAGCCCCATCCCAAAAGGAAACTAAAGCAAAACATTATACTCCTAAATCCCTGCAAAACAGGATTCCCCACCCCCATGCCTGTACTGAGTCTTTTTTCTTTAATTGCAGGCTTCAGTTCCCATAATGGCGAAAGCTGATTTTTGAAAACACATGATATGCGGTTCATCAACATGACAATGAAAGTTTCCTCAAGTATCTGATTTGCCCTATCATTGTAAAAATCTCCATGATTATCTACAAGTCCCTAAGGAGATTCAAGGAACACAACAAAACAATGAATGAAAACTGCAGGATAATATCCCTTTTCTATGTAGGGATGTAACTGAGCGATGAAGCATTTTCAGTCTGATAAATTTCAGACACAGGAAAGATCAGTTTGGAATATGGTTCTTTTTGCTGCAACCATCTTCATGTTTTTGCCTAATATCAAATGCTATATTCTTCTTGGTAAATGCAGTGTGGGGAACCGACTCTTCATTAGGCACAAGCAGTATAATTCAGAAGATCTGGTTATTGGTGGAATTACTTCTCAGATTTACATGTTTTCCAACACAATGACATTCACAAAGAATCCATCTAAAGAAACAGTTGATGATTTCCTGTAATTATTATTATTGCGTAGATAAGTGATAACTGGATCTTACTTCACAGTTATTTAATACATAAAGTAAAGGGCAGAACTGGTTTTAGAGGATGGTAGAAAACATTGCACTAGGAGGTGATAGCATTTATAGTGCAGGAGGAAAAGTATTGCATGGGGGAATTCTGAATTTCCAGGTCACTTTTTTTAAAAATTGGAATTACTTAAATATTGAATTACTAGTATTGATAGAAGAAGAAAAATGAGGAGAAAAGGGTGTGGGATAGCGGAAAAGAAAAGGTTAGATAATAAAATTATAAGTAATTCTACTAAATTCAGGTCACATTTTGCATTTCACCACAACCCAGCACAAGGGATGACAGATTATAACATGTGAAAGGAAGGGACTCTTCTACCCAGTATTCTCTTCCAAAGAAAGTTTTCCATTCACTGCTTTAGAAAGCTTTCCTTTCCTGTATTCTTGCATCAAAATTTAGCTCTCTACATGGTATGGAGAATTCAGGTACATCTGATTTATATTTTTCTAATCTACAGAAGTGACATGTTGAAAATGTGAACAAGGATAGGAAACTCTATTGCAGCATGGTGAATCTGAAACTAGGAGGCTTTCAAATTACTGATGTTCTTAGACTGAAATTCAGAGAAAGCTTTAACGTCATTAAACCTGCGTGCAGATTTTTCCCTACTTTAGGGCAATAGAATCACACCTTCTGAATATGTTTAGAAAATATAAATCAGGACATGGCAAAGTTCCTATTCTGAAACAGAAGTATTGTAACAAAAGTTACATTTGTTAACAACTCTCATTTCAGAATTCATGTTCAGAATGTTCAGCATATCCTGACCTTGGAATTCGCTATCAAAGAAATCAATGAAAATCTCCGGATCTTACCTAATATCACACTGGGCATCCATG